CATCAACCCAGGTAAACATTTGATTCTAGAAGACTGTTTCTATGTAGAAGCAATCCTCTTTGCCTGTCTGTACATTCTTTAGCACTATTACATTGCTCAATACAATAGAAAAGATTTCCTTTCCCAAATTATTTGGCTGACAGCTCCCTACCTTCTCATATCCTCCTCCATCACTTGCCAAGAGTGAAGGGTGTTGACTCATGAGATGAGAAACCAGAGTAGAACTTTCAGAGACTGAACTCTGTAGGTTGACTGTCTGGTACCTGTCCACAATGCATGTATTCTTGCCTCTGTTCACTTAGAGTGCCTTGGAAGGTAAGCTGGCCTGAATGCGATATCTCCATCTTGCAAGCTGGTGGACATATTACTCCTTTGGTGGACCAGAAGGAAGGCCATTCTCGATAAGCAATAAAGCTGAAACCTGGATGTCACGGCCCTCTGTATCTACTTCCCATGGTTCCAAACAGGATGAGGGGAATGCTTGAGGCCAACTTTTTCAACAGAGACATTTCTGCTTAAAGACTATCAGTCTACCATTCTGTAATCTCGAAGCAATGTAGAGGGGAAGACAAGGGACTCTGGAACCCCTTGATGTAAGAAAAACACACTTTTAAGATAAATCTTCTTTTAAACTAATTAGTAATGTAATGCACCCAGATCAGTCTTCTATCATTGACTTTCCCCCAACAGGCCCTGGGGCACACTTAAAGTAGTGTAATTCGAGGAGAGTTTATTTATAAAAGAAAGAGAAAATGCAGTCACATGCTACTTAATGGCCGGATATATTCAGAGAAATACATTGTTGAGCAATTTCCTCCTTGGTTCAACATTGTGGAGTGCACTTATACAAACCTAGATAGTATAGCCTGGTCCCCCCATTGTGACTTCTTGATACAGGAAAGGGACACAGTAAACATGAGATTGGATGAGGCTGCTGCCAGCTAAAGCTGCATACTGTTTTACCCTAGATTTTGTTTTTTGCACATAGAAGAAGTACATTTTATACCAATGAAAAAACCCAGAAACCCATTATTTATTACATTATCAAGTACTGTGCAATTTACATGATTTTATGTGCCATGATTTCATACAACTGGCACTGCTGGGTTTGTTTACACTAGTGTCCCACAAATAAGTAAGGAATGCCACCAGCTGGCCGCTATTTTCCAGGTCCATTGTGGTTTTATGGGACCACAGTTGTATATTCAGTCCATTCTTGGCCAAAATATTGTTGCTTGTTTACTGAGCTTTTGGTGGACTGTAGGAAAGTGTTTCTCTGCAACCACCTTCCCATCTACCATTCCCCTTCTCTTCCACGGTTTAGACAAGTCTAGCAATCTGTGCTTGAGTTACTAGTTTATAGTCTGGACTCTTTGTTTTTTAAAAACCGAGTTCTAGACCTTCAAAGCAGATTCTGAGTTCACTGACTCAGAGTGTGTGCAGCTAAGAGTGTCTAGGCTGCTGGAGATACATCTGGCCCTCTCAAATTAGCACCGGTGAAAGAAAGTCACAGCTAGAGCCAGATCAGCTACCTGGTCAACCTCCAGGTGGCCCAGGCAACACTCCATTCCTTCCGTTAACAACCAGCTCTTCTCTGCGGCACATAGTATACATTTGTACAGTGGGGACGGGATCTAGAATTTCCTTCCCCTGAACTAGGCTGATTGGGGCTGGGGGGGGCGGGGAGGGAGGAGGAATGTGCTTTCCAGATTAAGATGGCCCAAACCAGCATATGTTATGACCTAACCAGAAATTATCTTTGGCCAAAATGAAGAGTAGTCCTGTATTAAGCATAGATAAGGATGGGTGCTCAGACTTGACTGCACCTATACTGTCCATATAGAGAGAGTCTTGGTAAAAAGAGCCATGACCTCATTCCTTTACTGACAGGAACCAGACTTGGTTTATGAAGGAAGAAAGAGAAACTAGCCTAGCTGTCACAGCTAAGCAGCTCTGTCCTATACAAGGAAGGACTGGTCTATGCACCCCAAACACATATCCCTTCATCTGACTCTAAAAGCACTGCTGGAAAAACAATGTTAATGTCCCAAGAGGAAGTTCTAGTTGTCTTCCTTCAACAAGAACCCATTTCCCCCATATGCCTTTGCTGGAAAATATGGTTGAACTTGAATTGTCCGCTCTTTGCTCTGACTCCTGTCTCTTTGCTTAGTGGTGAGCCAGCATTTCCCACCTCCTGTCGGTCAATAATTAATCTACCTGTCTTGAGAGCCACAAAGCTCTTTGATAAGCTTAAGTGACTATATCCAGAATCAATCTTGTTGGACCGTCAGGTCTAACACTTGCTTAGCTTCCTTTCATTGTGAAAAACTGCTCCTGCTCAAATGCACAAACAGGAACCTTTTTTTTTTTTTTTTTTCAGGAAACAAAACCAAGCAAAGGTAGAAGTCCAGAGTTTTGACTGATTAGTCACTCTGCTATCCTGTCTGTGACCCGCTGGCTTGCTCAACCGTTCACGTCTGCTGCCAATCAAAGTCTTTCACTCTCATGTCAGGGACGGAAAATGTTCAGACCGTTGAAGTGGAGTCTGGTGGCATTTTGGTTTATGCAAAGAAAATATTGACTCACTACCATGGATTCAGTCACCAGTATCATAATTTGAAAATGACACAGTGCATATAACGTAGGAGGTGGGCCCCTGCAAAGATGGAAATGTACAGAAATGTTAGAAACTAGAATTATTTTTCCAGATGGCTTGAAAATCACATTTTTTTTCTTCTTATAAGATGAGTTCTTGTTCTCCTGCCCATGGTGGTCTTCAACCTGTGGATTCAAGTAATGCTTCCATCTCAGCCTCCTACAGAGCTGGAACTATAGGCTTAGCCATTATGTGCAACCAGTAATCACATTTTAAAGAGCTTTAATTCTGAGTCATGATGGTCAATCTTGGGCTCATTGCCAAATTCCCACCTTGGTTGGTTAGCTTTAATTATCAGCTTGAAACAACCCAGAAAGCCTGGGAAGAGAGTCTCACTGAGCAATTGTCTAGATCAGATCGGCCGTAGGAGTGAGTTTTTCTTAATGAAGTTAATTGATAAGGAGAGACTCGGCCCACTGTAGGTGGCACCATGCCCTAGGCAGTGGGTCCTGAACTGTGTTACAGTAGAGAAAACAGGATAAGCACAAGTGAGTTTGTGTACATTCACTTATCTCTTCTCTTGACTGTGGATTTGATGTACCTGCCTGTCTCAAGTTCCTGCCTTGACTTCCCCTTAATGATAGACTGAAACCTGGAATTATGAGCTCAAAAAAAGCCTTCTTCCTGTAAGTTGCTTTTAGTCAGGATATTGTATCATAGCAACAGAAATTAAACTAGAGCACTACCTCATTCCGTCCCTGGACAGATAAGATAGTCAATTACATTAAATAAAGCAATAACAGCCAAACTTCATGGAAGCGAATAGTGACCACTATTAAAGGCATAAATAAACTAACTCCTTAGGGACTAGTGTCTGGACAGCTTTGCAAATGGATCTCTAGATCTCCATGGAAATGTGTCATATCCATTCTCTAATTTCATCCCATTTCTGAAATGATTTCAGTGTTACCTCTTCGGAGTAATCTTACAGTAAAGAATGGAATCTACCTTTAGGTGGGAACATGGCATTTTTCTCTCCATTAAGATTTAATTTCGTTAGCAAGGTCAATCACCTGGCCAATAGACCATCCTTCATGAAAGTAGGTCCACCTTAAGCTACGGCAGGAGGACTAATTAGCCCTTTAGTGAGACATGTATTCTCACACTTCCACAGTGCAAGCTCTCCTGAGTGCCCCCACCAGGTTCTGTTGGGTCTGCTGGTCTCTCTGAATCCTGACTAAGAACATTGTAACATTTCCTTTTTCTTCTCTTCTGTCCAGTTCCTTTGGTTGCTGGTGAGAACCTAAGGATGCTTGTATCTTGTATCTGGGACTCGAGCTTTTTCTATGGCTTCCCTCCCTTGTCATACAGCAGTTTGTCTATCATGTGACTGACCTCCATGCCAACCTAACTCAAACTGTGTGGTTTTCTCTCTTTCTTTTCTCTATTGCCCTCCTCTGGCCAGCTGCTGACATTCCCAGCTTGTCTGCTTTGCTGATTAATTTTCTTTTAAGTTCTAATAAAATTGTCCCCACACTTTACAAAGATAAAACCGAAACCTCTTTGGGCACACTGGTGCCTGGCTGCAATCACAGCACTTGGGAAGCTGAAGCTGGAGGACCACTTTGTTCAAGGTCAGCCTGAGCTCAGAGGGAGTGAGTCTGGGGTACTGAAACCTTGTCTCAAAAAGAAAAGAACTATCTTATTGCAGTGATTCCCACACATTCAGATTTTACTGAGGAAGAAAAGGGCCAAAAATTAAGGAATGATAGACGATTCTCAACATTTTACTTTTTGCCAAGTTAGGATATCATTCTTAAAATGTGAAAGCAAATAAGTACCATTTGCAGTCTCCACTATTTCATAATAGAAGGAACATTTCAACACCGGTAAGCAGGAAACGATGATAACACAATGAATTAAGAAACAACAGTCGGTGTTGGTGGCTTGGTGGTCTTTAAAAAGAGAGTCAAGGTCATTTTCAATGTTGAAAACCCCACAAGACTAATTTGTAGTCTTATTTCACATATAATTAATTTTTCATATCTGTTTGTGGACACTAGGAGTATGTGTTCATCGGAAGGACACAAACAGGAGTCCAAACATTTGGTTTTGTGCTTATCTTTTGTGTCAGGGATCAAACCCAGGGCCTTGCCAGGCAAGCAGCGTGCCACTGAGAGTCCAGGGCAAGATTTCACAAGTATGCCGACCTAAATAGAATCGATGTATCTTATCATTCTGGTTCTTGCAATAAAGGCTGTTGGATGCTGAATGGTCCTGGCCAAAGCGAGAAACTGAGTTTTTTTTTTAACTCCCAATACATGTGAAAACAAACCTCTTTCCTAGTAGAGTTTTGCAGATGCCAGCAGACTGAGTTGGGGTGCACCCTGGCCAGGTAACTAATGTCACGCTAAGAGAAAGGGGCTGGATACAGAGACAACCATCCAGGGAAGACAGCCATGTAAAGGTAGAGGCAGGATTGGATTTATTTGTCAACAAAGCCCAGGATACCAAGAGCTCTCAGGTCACACAGAGCTGGGGAGAGGCAAGGAAACATTCAACACAGCCTCTGGAGAACATGTGGCCCTGTTGGCTCTTCCATTGGGGATTTTATCCCTCAGAACTGTAAGGCAAAGATTTTTCTATTTTTTTTTTAAGTTAGCTAATTTGTAGAACAAGGGTCTCTATGTACAAGTAAATACTGTCTAAGATTCTCACTGGATGTTTGAGACCGTAGACAGTACCAAACCCTACATTCTACATATACTGGTTTATGGACTGTAGACATATAGACCTACGGTAAGTTTAATATATAAATTAGGCATACTGGAATATTAGTAATAACTACAGCAGTATAGTGCAAGGAAAGTTATGAGACCTCTCTGTCTCTACTTCTCTGCTCCCACCCCTCTCTCTACTTAATATCTTCATTCTCCAATTAGCCACAGGTCCCTGGAGCGTTGGAACCTTGGAAAGTGAAGAGCCAATACAAGGACCAAGTTGGAAGTCGAGGCAACCAGAAGTCACAACACAGGCTTGAGGCATGCCTGCACCATCCAGCAGCGACGCATGTGAGCAGAGCTCCTCAGAGCCCTGGTCACTCACAAGAAATAGAAATCTACGTGAAAGAACTGCCACACATTTTGGCCCAAATCACCATTTCTCGTAAGTTTTCCCAAGTGATGGGAGAGGGTGGGGGGGGGGGCGGGATGAAGAAAAGCGAGCACTCGTGATAAAAACAGCAGAACATGATGCCTTTGTCAGGCCTATAGTCAAAAGACAACTTCCCTGAGGCAAGCTTCCCCCCCACCCCCCAACGGAAGCATCCTATTGATCAGAGCAGCTTCTCCAGACGCCTACTAATGTCCAGAACCGAAGGGAAGATTGCAGGCCCTTTGGCCTTCTGAGTGAAGAATTGTCTTCCGCTGCGGTCCAGGCCCTTGGCTGAGTCCATTAACCCGGAGGTCCCCACGAGGCCCAGCTGTCCCTGGTGGTGATGGGGCAGTGGTCTCTAGGGGAACGACTGTCTGGCCCCTCAGCCACTTAAACAAACCTGTTAGAGCAGCCCTAACTAAACACAGCATTGCCATCTGTGTTTGCCTTCCTGGGCTCTTGTTTTCAGGCCCAGGGAGGGTGGTGTCTTCCCGAAGGCTCCTGGGCTATGGAATGTATTTAAATGCGGGGTTCAAAACCCTCATGCGCCCCTCTCAAATTTGACAATTGTTTAAGCGTTATTGCTTGAATGGATGCAGATGTTCCCCGCCTCCCTTTCTGGGAGGAGGACTTGAGAAGAGGGAGGAAAACAGCTTTTTTTTTCTTTTCTCGCCTCCCCCCACCCAGCCTTTTTAGACACATATTTTATCTTTATGTTTTCATGAAGAGCTGCCAAGAGATGCATCTGGTCCCCAAATCAAGAATCTCACACTCCTCCTCTCGACTCACAGCTTTCCAAGCGCCTTTCTTTGTGATCTCTGCCCAAACAAGCTGTCGGCAGGGCTCAGTGGACAGATGACCGGCAAATCACGGAAGCAAGAGATCCATTTCCTCCTCGATGCTAGAAAGAAAGGCACCATGGCATTTTTAATGTCATCCCTCGCCTTTTGCTTTTTTTTTTTTTTTAACAGCTCATTTTCTTATTAATATTTCCAGCAGCTAGAGCAAATGCCAGTTTAATTAAATTTCCACACCACCCCCCTTTTATCCAATTAGTGGGTTCACTGGCTCCTCAACAACCTTCAATGTCTGCGTTCTCAGTGAATGCTCAGTTGCTTCTGGCTTCACCCAAAAAAATCTGTTACATATTAAGTTATAATAAGATATAGGCAATTATAGTAGCAGCAGGACAAATAGATTTGTATGGTTCATTACAAGGTATTTCTGGAACATACATAGTGTAAATAACTAGTTTCTGAGGCAGGGTATATTCTGAAGAGATCTTGTTTTAAACGGGGGAGGGGAAGGGGACATTACCAGTTACAATCAGCAAACTGAATCGAAGAGACTCCAGCCATCTTGATAGCTGGCTGTCATGCACAGCATTTCGACATGTGAACCACAAATGGAGATGGTGTTCCACGGGAAATGGGTGGTGGCCTGCTCTTCCTTGTCAGAGCGACACCAGTGTCCCTATATTGGAAAAGACTGGACATGCCAGCAGGCCGAATTCACAATAGGAAGAGCGTTGGATATGCAATGAGCCACACGCACAGGCCTTGCGCTTTGTCCACGTCTCTTTCTAATTTCCTCATTGCGTTGGAACCCAATGGTATGAGATCCTGGGAGGGCAATTCCTCCATGTTCACCCTACTACCTGAACAGGAGGAGAAAGCGGAAGCTCAAAAAGGTGGTAAGTACATCACTAGCTAATAAACAGTTGAGTCAGAAATAACTGTGGGTCTTGCATGTGTGTGTGTGTGTGTGTGTGTGTGTGTCTGTCTGTCTGTCTGTCTGTCTGTCTGTCTGTGTCTGTGTGTTTGTTTGTTTTTGAGACAGGATTTCTCTGTGTAGCCCTAGCTATCCTGAAAGTAGGTCTGCATACCAGGCTGGCTTCGAACTCACAGAGATCTGCCTGCTTCTGCCTCCCAGGTGCTGAGATTAAAGGCGTGCACTTCCACTGCCTGGTTACTGTGGGTCCCTTGAGATCTCAACACACTAGCATAATTTCCATGAGACTTTCCTGGACCCAGTCAGTGTCCATGAAAAGAAAGTAGAGGAGAGTGATTGCAGACGCCCCAGGAGAGGTCTTCTTGGAGGATGACGAAGTATCTATGGATGTCACTCAGCACACATTAGGTTAGTCTGATGTTTGCAGGTCTTCATACTGGACTAATGAAATAATTCTCAAGACAAGGAAGAAAGGGTTTCCAATGTGGACATGAAAGATGCTTTTGTTAAGACAAAAGTCGGTGTTTATGATTTTCTCCAAAGCAGATATTGAAGCCTGTTGACCTGATCAATACAGCTCTGCCTCTAGGCCTGAAAAAAATGTCTGTCAACTAGGAAACTCAGTATTTTCTTCTTTGTGGTAGTTAAGAACAATCCTACAGCATCCTAAGAGCTGCGCTGTATGGAACTTTCAGTAGCCCCCTCCCACCTCCCGACCTATGCCCAAGCTGTGAGCACCACTTTATCTTAAAAGCCTTTGGGAAAGGTGGTTCCCAGCCCTCTTCTCCATTCCATATGGAGAACTATTTTTTAACCAATACCAGCCTGAAAAATCCATTTTACGACTTCTGGGATATATGCAAGGCATTTTGCCTAATTCTTTGGCCGAAATTGTAAGTAGGGTTGAAAAATTCCATATAAGTAAATACCCTGCGAGTTTGTACTGACTAGAGTCACTGAGCCTGGACTATGAGCTCCCCAGAGAACAGACAGCAGCGTGTGAAACAGCTGTAAATTGATATGCTGACTGCTGCCCCTTTGAGAAACAAGGGCAGGAAGGAAAAAGGATGGGCCAGGCTGGGTACACAGGACTGGGTAGAGAGGGGCACAGGACTGGGTAGAGTGAGTGAAAGTCAGTAGGATGTAGAGATCAGCAGGCAATCAAGGGGTAGAAACCTGGCTGATCACCCATGAAAATGAAAACAGTAGTCTCCATCTGAATGAAGCTGGGCCATGCCTCCGAGGGGCGGGGCCTAACTGCTATCTTTTTGGCTTTTTTTTACTCTAAATTGGCTGTGTGCAATGAGGAGTTTTGGCTTTGGGATCCTTGGGAAATGAAATTTGTCTGTCTTTGTCTTACTTGTGGAATTTTTAATGAATTCTAAAGCTCTGTTTCCTTATCTCCAAACGAGGGCTCTGGAATTCCTGACCCAAGCACTTTCTAAGTAGACAGTGCAAGAATACATTCTCTGAGTCAGGGATGACAAAGGCCAGGTTAATGGCTAGGACTTTTAGAGGCTGTCCCCTGAAGAGTTATGCAGCCAATTTAAAGGATGCCAGATGACCAGATGAATGTTAGCTCCTTCATACAGGTGGTAGGACTCATCTTTCTCTTCTGTACTTGGGTCTCTTTACAGTTGTACTAGTTCATTTCCGAATCCCAGGAGTAAGAGTAAAGCTACAGTAATTTGTACCTACCATGTCTCCCGGAGGGACTGGACCACCCATGATCTCAGGGAGAGCAAGTCTGGGTTGTTGGATTCATCATTATTGTGCCTCCACCTAAATCTGCCTGTGACGGAACATATCACAGATTGGACACATCATCTCTAGGCTGTCCGGTGAAGTTTTGATCCAGCAAGAATTTGAAACTGTTGAAAAGGAAGACGAAGCTGATGCAAGCAGGGAAAGAAAATGAAAGAGCATCATGGGAGAATCTAGATAGGCTAGCAAAGCAGTCAGGGAAGATCATAAGCAATTCAAGATACGAGGGGGCGGAAACTAAGGGGACGCCAAAGATGGTTCCAAGGCACTCAGTTGCCCAAGATGGGCCTCTCAACCCAACCAGCCCACAAAGAAGTCCTGCATTTTTCACACTCCTTAAATCCGGATGGGTGTCATGAGCTGTTGAATATGATGTGTATGACTGTGTGGCCTTCAAGGATAGGGCATACAAAGCTTTGACACATTTGAAAGGGCCCATTGGAATGTTCTCAGATCTCTTCAGCCATCAAGGTCTACACACAGCTACTCAAGACAACAGCCTCACCTGAACTCCCAGCCTGCGGCCAATGCTAGCCACCGGAGCTCGCTGTCTTGGAGTCGGTCTCACCCAGCTTCTATTCAACTGCAGCTACCTAAAACAGCTCTGGGAGACAATCTAGTTAAGCTACAGAACCACTGGAGTGAGCAATAGTGATTATTTGGGGCCACTACATTTCTGAGTAGTTTATTGTGCAATAACAGATAGCAAGAGCATGTCCATGTGTAGGGAGAGATTGCTGGGCCCTGGCCCCCCATTTTGGGTAGCTGCCGCCTTGCTTGCTGACCTTGACCAGATGTCCTCCCTATGGTGATTCCCTGCCGGTTTCCTTCTTCTGAAAGCTCACGGGAGGTTCTTAGTTCGTGTATCCTGCATTTGGTGTAAACAGCTTAGATGCAAGAATGTAGAACTTTGGGTAGCACACTTCTGCCCTCCCTCCGGGGATCCTCCATTGTGCTGTAAGCCTGTATTTAAGGTTTCCTCCCTCCTTCAATAAACAACATTCAGCATTCTGCTGGGACGAATGACTCGCTGTCTCTTGTCTCTGTTTTTTAATCCACAGCCCCTCCTCCGACATGGTAAATGGGTGGCGGTAAGAGATATCATCAACAGAGCTGTATCAGTCCTCAAAATATCACTTTTGTGTGAAGCAACTTAAGGCTAGCTTTTTCCTAATAATATAAACACTTGAAAACATGGCTTATAAAAGACTGCATTGGATACCTAGTGACAAGCTTAGAATAGAGGTTTCTAGAAGATCTGCCATGGATAAATACTTGTACCAACAAGGTTTCACACCCCTGCAGTGTAATGAGAAATGTAAAAGCGATAGAAGACTTTTTGTGCATGAATCTGAATTGTATCAAGCTAATGAGGGCAGCCTGTGAAATAAATTGCTCTCAGAGTGTCAAATATGAGAATCCTACCCACGCTACCTCTCTTGTTGTTAAAGTCGTGGTCATCGGGAAACAGGGACGTTCACTGCCCTCTGATTCTCCTTCCTTTACCTCTCTCTGTGGTGAACCCTGGGGCTGGAGTGCTCGGAAATTGCCTTTACTTCCCCTTCCTGGTCAACCTGTGCTTCTCAGAGGGAAGAACTCTCTCTTGTCCTTCACAGCCTGCCTCTTCCCTACCCCTGAACCAAGGGTGAGCCCCAGTGCAGACAGCATGGGAAGGGCTACAGCATTGAAACCTTTGGGAAATGGGAGAGTGGGAATAATTTCATCAGAGTCCATAAAAGAAGCCCCCAGTGCAATAGGTGTAAAACTGGCTATTTCCCAATGCCTTGACCTTGTGCTAAACTTAGCCACTTAACTTACATTTGAGCAAGGGTAAGTACATAGATACAATCTGTGAGCAAGCTGGCCTTTCCCACGTAGCCCTTCTAAAGCTCTCATAGTGTAAATGACCAGATCTCAGATAGTTTAATAACCGCTACTAGAGCGATAAGGACAGCCCTCTGCAGAATTCCACCTTGTGCAAGGTCGCAGAGAGTCCCCTGGTGAGCAGGGACTGGGGTCCATGGCATTCCCTGCCAGCTTCTCCTTATCCAGGGGATCAAAGCCTGAGCAGAGAGTGGCTGACCCTGATTTGCATTGTGAAAGTCACCTGTCTGGCTCTGCCCCTGAGGCAGAGATCAAAGCTGGGAGGGTAGCCAGGTGCAGAGAGGAAATCAAATATTGATGCAATGAGATGCATGACAATTCTCCTCCACCCACCTTGTCCGTAATAAAAGTGAGCCTGGGAAATGACCAGTAACCACGCTCTTTCCACGAGCTCAGGTTATGGCTCCTGTTTGCCCCGCCAGATGGGCTGTGCACAGCTTTGCCCAGAAAAGGCAATGCAGGAGGGGAAAGACTGGGGGATGTCTGATCAGATGGTTTCCCAAGCCCTCCGCCACCTCTGCAAGAAGAAGGGTTGGAGCTTTTTCAGTCCCATGACCCATAGAAGCTCAAAACTAAAGTGGATAAAAGAACATCACAAGCCTTAAAAAGAGTAAGGGGGGAGGAAACAGAATGGTTGTTCTTCTTATTTTTTAAGAGATAAATGCTGGCAAGTGTGGAAAAAAAGCAACTCTAATGCTTGTAAGTCAAGCCAGCCACAGTGGAGAGCAGGATGGAACCCCCGCCCCTGCCCTCGCCCCCGCCCCCACCCCAAAGCGAGCAAACAAATAAAAACTAAAACCTGACCTATAACACCCAGCTATTTCACCTTGGTGTATATCTAAAATAAATAAATAAATAAATAAAAATGAAGCTGCCCATGTTTATTGCAGTGCTAATTGCAAATAGCTAAGACAATATACACATAGTAGAGTATTATTCGCCAGTCAACAGGAATGAAATCCTGTCATTTGCATTGAAGTTAATGGAACTGGATGATGTTATAAATGAAATAAACCAGACACAGAAAGACAAGTGCTCTCATTTGTGGACGTGGTCAAGCTGCCTTGAAAACAGAATAGAGGTTACTAAGAATTGGGGGGAGTGTAGTGGAGGCAGAAAAAGGGAGGCTGAACTTGATCCACGCATGCTCTGTACATGTACAGATATATCGCACTGGCCCTGAATACTATTTAAATTAACATGTACTAATTAAGAAAAAATGCCAGACGGTGGCTCACGCCTTTAATCCCAGTACTCGGGAGGCAAAGGCAGACGGATCTCTGAATTCGAGGCCAGCCTGGTCTACAGAGTGAGTTCCAGGACAGTCAGGTTACATACACAGAGAAACCCTGTCT